ACGACTTCAATTCAAATAAGATTCCTCTTGGCTGGGACCAAGCCTTGCCTGCCCTCCCCTATTCCTGATTTTCATCAAAGGCCCTTCAAGTGATACTGCATTCGAAATGTATTGTTGAAACTTTCGAATCATGTAATGCCTCTGATAGAAGTACTCATCGAAAGAAACCCAAAATGATGTCGATGTCGTGACGATATTTTCAGGTAACATTTTAAAATTATTGAAACACACGTTTCAACAACTACCGTTGTTGGAAATACAAAAACAATTTGATCTTCGATGTATGAATTCTTCAATTTTTGAAGATGTGTATGATTCGTGGAATAAAATAATATTTATATTTGAGAAACTGTTAATGTTATTGAAGTGTATTCTTTTAATAATATATATTAATTGCCAATTGATTATTAACCTTTTTGGTGTCCAGCGAGAATAAAATATAAGCTTTATACATATATTGAATTTGATAGTTTTCAGAATGATATGCTTATCTTTTCATTATTTCAGATTGGAAAATGTCGAGAAAACAAAAAAAAACGAAATAGCCAACCTTAAAATTCGTTATGAAAAGCAAATTGACGTTGTTAATGTGGAATTGCAGTCTCTACAGAATCAGTTATTCAGATTCAAAAGAGAGAAAGATACATATAAGCATATGTTGGAATCAGCTCAGAAAACCATGGGAAATTTAAAACAAGCTTCAAATACAGTCGAAGTAGGCAGTGAGAATTCTATTCAGGAAGAGGTTTGTGCTATTTATTCCAAATATTTCAATTTGATTATTTTCATTTCAGCTTAAAGAGTATAGATCTAAAGTAGCAGCGCTAGAAGAACAAATAAGTTGCATGGAAGATGAATTTTCGGAATCAAAATTGGAATGTTCCAAATTGAAAACGGAATTGATATCTGAACGCTCATCTTGGGAAGTTAAAATATCTGAGCTGCATTCGAAAGTTAATGAGTTAGAAGAAGAAAAGGTTCTCAGCAGTGGCCGCACAAAAATAATGGGATTGAGAACCAAAATGGAGTTAGCTTGGCAGAGAGAAAGGGAAGAACAGCAGAGGTTACTTCAAGAAACCGCCACTTTAGCTAGAGATTTACGTCAAACTCTTTTTGAAGTTGAAAGAGAAAGAGAAAAAGAACGGTTAGAATCTAGAAGAAAATTAGATCAACTGAAAAAAATTCTAGAAGAAGAGCAGGAACAGAACAAACAGAAATTGTCTGAACTGCGATATGATTTATTCGAATTAGGGAATGCTCATGCCAAATTGAGAACTACCAATGACAACGAATAATTTTTTTTCTAGGCATCGCAATCATTCGGAATTTCAAAATCACATTTTCAACTATGTTTTGAACAATTACACGCATTTGAAGCTTATTGTGAATTTATGTACCTTCACTCTTATTTTTTAGTCTAATTTGACCGGATTGAATGGATATGCTGTTGTTGTCGGTAGTTGTCTTAAGGTGGAGTTCAAAACATTGGCTCCTTGCTGTTGATTCATTTTTTCAGGAACCGCCTTTTCACGGTTCCACGATAATAGACAAAGGTTATTTAGGTTTTTCGTAACGTCACTTTCATCCTCAAAAAGGAAAGTGACTTTTGAGATAAATTTTTTTTTCAAATTCTCCTAATTTACATTTATACTTTTTTGAAGACATTTCGGTTGGTACCGAGAGTATACCGAGAGTATATCATACGAAATGATATATACATACGTCATGAATATGAGAAGTCCCCTTTTTCCAGAAACAATACGTTGCTCATATAAATGGCTTTATAATATACTACCAAAATGAAGAAAATACATGCTACATACCTATGAATTCCATCTTCTTGTTCTTCAATAAAAATTGTGAGGTAAAGTTCCCGCAAATACTTTTATTTTCAGTAACGAAGTTATTGTCTTTCAGACTTTCAGGCTTTTTTTCGAATGCTCAAATATGTTTCTTGACATCGAGACGAATCCATTGGTGTCAAAATCATCAAAATCGGACGACCACAAGTGAAAACTCGATATGGGATATCCGAATCCACCATTAGTTTCACAATATTTATGAACCGGAAGTGTTTATTTTTTGATTATTCGTAAAGACCCGAAACTTTGTTGATTCATATACTGGTCACTTCTCGACGATAAATGGCGCTGATGCTGGTGACCCAATTCACCTAATGACAACTAACAAACTTCATGTTTTTTTACATAATCCCTACTAATATTATGAATGCGAATGTAAGTTTGTTTGTTACGGTTTCACGCGAAAACTACTCAACCGATCATCATGAAATTTTGTACACATGTTGGAAGATTCCCACATTTTTTTATACCAAGATGTAAGTAGGAAGCCAAAAACTTTCTTTGCCAAAAATTATTCACTCCTGAAAATATAATATAATTGACGGGAGTTCTACTTTGAATGAATGGTTACAAATTGCACTTACATGGAACACTGTCATTATCACTGGTAGACATCGATGTTTTGCCGTAAGACACTTGCCTTAGGGCTCTTCAGTACTAATCTGGATAACATCATAGAAAATACACAAAATTCATTCATGAATTACGATTTTTAATGTCACGGAATAAGTTTGATCTACTTATTTCATCGATGACATCGTAATGATATTCATTCATCCATTTGATTAAATCCCAGCCAAGAGGAATCTTATTTGAATTGAAGGGGTTATATTGGAAGATTCCCACATTTTTTGGAATCAAGATGGAGTAGTAGAAAGCCAAAAACTTTCTTTCCCAAAAATTAATCATTTCTAAAAATATGACGACTTCAATTCAAATAAGATTCCTCTTGGCTGGGACCAAGCCTTGCCTGCCCTCCCCTATTCCTGATTTTCATCAAAGGCCCTTCAAGTGATAAAAGAAAATGAAGTATGTTATACACCAAATCCACCTAGAAGAACAAAATCTAAGTCCAGAGAATCTTCTCCAGCTATGAGAGAAAGAGAGTCATCAATGGCACCAGAAGAAAAACATCAACGAATACAATATGTTCTGCAACGACTTGTATGTACAACTGAAGATTTACGGCGTCTTCGAAGATCCTCTGAGGAAGATTTACAGTCAACAAACTCAAAGACAAATATTGGTATCAGAAGAGCGACTTCTCTTGAGTACGATAATGAATCAGATGCAACGAATGATATGCAGGGTCGGTTGAAAAAATATAATACCAAAGAAGGAAGTTTATATAGAAGGAGTTTGTCCCTCGAACAAACCGCAAAGAGTACTCAATCGATTTGGTTTAATGACAGTGATATATCTAGCATGAATTCATTAAATTCGCATTCAGATATCGAAAAGGGTCGAAGAGAGAGAAATTCAAGTTTAGATAGTAGATTATCTAGCGGATCCACCCATAGTGAATTAGGAAATGAAAAGAAGAAAAAAGGCATTATGGAAAAATTGAAAAATTTGACCAAATCAAGGAGCATCGATGATCAAGATCCTGGAACATTTTCTTCAACGAAAACACTTTCACCCAAGGTAACATTTTTCAAATACTCTAACTTTGAATTTCATGTGACTTTGAGAATGCTCAAATTTTCACTTACTTTCGTGGTTTGAAACCGACACAGTTTCGAATAATTGAGGTCGACTAGCGACCAAGTTTTACATATTGATCAACCGGTGACACTTGGGTTTCGACATTCAGGCTCTATTCCAAAATATACCGATTCTTCATCAGTACTGTGGATTTGAACAACTCATTTGATCACATATAAAAGATATTGTATACGTATCTCCGATGTGAAAAATGAAAAGAGTATGAATTTACCTATAATATATGAAAATTATAGTATGTCATAAATATGGAGTCGTATAAATTTCACTCTCTAGTTTTCAATTCAACTCAACTTCCTTTATGAGATCTCAACTTTTCTATAGGGTATTATCAGGAGCAGTCTTCCAAGTTCTCGGACAATTTATTCATTCCGAGGTCATGTACTACCAAGTATTCAAAGCATGCTCCAGTGAAAAAATAAATCATAAAGGAATCTCTAATGACGACATTTCAAATGAACTAAAAATAATTGATCAAAAACATTGTCAATTTTTATTTGTCAAACAAGTTTTATTAGTGATAAATAGACTTGTAAGTTGAGCAACACTACCTTGGATAGAAGTCCAGAGACATAAGCCACATTTATCATAAGCTCCCGTTAAAATAATTTCATCAAAAAATATAGGATGAAAAAAACTCTTGTCTCTGTCTGTCTCAAGTAAACTCCTCAAAAATGGTTTAACCAACCGAAACCAAATGAAAAACTCGGTAGAAATCAAATAAAAGTTATTTTACTTATACTATATCTAATTGATTAATGTTGATATCAATGACATTGTTGCGAAAAGAGTTGACATGAGGGAAGTAGGTCCGCCACTCCACCTTTTGTGCGGATTCATCGTTTTGTAGTTTTCGGAAAATGTTGAACAATTGACCAATCAATTGTTTATCATGTTGTCCAAACAACATGAGAGATTCCAAAAACAATTTATCCTCCGTTGACGGCAGTTGACACTGGTTGAAGGTATTGGTGAAGACTTATAGGAGATATGGTGATGAGTTATTTTTATAGATAGAACACCATACTTCCACTTCAATTCCATACGGACTATTATTTCTTTGTTTCGAAAATCAATGAGCCTAGAATGTTGGTTGAGTGCTCGCAGTGTGATGTTATTCATTTCATTTACATGAAAAATGGGTAGATGAATAAGATGATTTGACGTTTCATCAACTGCATAATCAGGATCAACATCAACGGCAAATTCGTATATTGTATGAGGCGGTGTGTCGTTGTAGAAGGCTCCAAACGTAATGTTGCCATTTATGTGTATGGTACGTACTTGAATGATATATACTGGTAGATTAGATGCATAATGTATGTTTGATTTGAGGAGAGCAGACGAAAACGGGCGATAAAATATTTGCAGGTTGTAAATTGATCGAGTATTTCAAACAAAATATTTCGCTTTTACTTGTATTAATGTTCGGATCTAGATAGAAAAATTCTTTGGGATTTTCCTCGTACGTTCTAGGCAAAATATATCTCTACTTATCAATTCAATTTCACCAACTCGGTAAGATCCAGCAGAGATATCGATACTTTTTTGCTTAGTTCAATCAACGTTTTCGTAGAAATACAATTTCGTGCCTTCTTTATTGTTCTGTGTACTGTTGTACGAATGAAAACTGAACAAAGCTAAACTGCATCCTGAATTGGAATATAGTCGAATGGACCGATTGAAATCGATGGGAAGCGTCGAAGAACGACTCCTTATTATATACATGACTGATACACTCCTCACATGTATACACCTCAAATAATGACTATAAACAACAACATTTCGATAAAAAATCATTGATTCATACAACCAAAACATTATTTCTGTGTCTTATTATTCAGTGGGCTATGCTTGAAGGCAGGCAGTAAACAAATCTAAATAAATGAATTTCAAATATTCAGGCCCGCCTTGGATATACCTACACGGTAGGTTGAATGGAACTGACGCCTATAAGAAAACAACCACTTCACTGGCTAATATCACGAATGGCGTTGGATTATATCCGATAGGCGTCAGTGCAGGAATCTTCACAGAAAATTTTTCCTGAATATGCCATTGGCAATACAACTGAAAGAGTCGACCTTCAATTTTGAAAAGGGCACACTTGCAGACCGGTTTCGGGCTCCTTCTTAGCCACTCGTCAGTGCAAGATTGTGACCCTCATCGGCCTAAAGTCAAAGATATTCCATAATTGATAATCGAATTTTTTTCAGAATGAAAATTCCTCGTCTTAAGTTGGAGTGAACATGAAAAATGTCACTCCATCTAGTGGACGGGGTACTAACCAACTGCATATCCGAAATTTGCCCGATTCCTATGAATAATAAAAACTTTCTTAATAGTCAGTGGCTATGCTTGAAGACAGGCAGTAAACAAATCTGAAACGAAAAATCTGTTTGAAATCTGTTTTTCCGTTAATCAGCTGTCGCCCCCATACGAACGACAACTCTCAGAAGTTGAGAAACTTGTACGAGCTAAGGACTAACGAGGTCTTACCTTTCAACGTGTAATTCCTAACACGTTCTTAAAGAAATGAACTTTAAGTGTTCAAACCTGTCTCGGATATACCTACATAGTACGTTGAATGGACCGACGCCTATAAGAAAACAACAACTCCACGGACTTATACCACGAACGGCGTTGGATTATATTCGACAGGCGTCAGTGCAGGAATCTTCACAGAACATTTTCTGAATATGCCATTGGCA